GAAAACACTCATCTGTGTAACAGACTTGTGCATAGACAGTCTACTGTCTATGATAACGTGAAGAGTCATGTGAGTTGATGCACATCACTCTCTTGAAAAAGATGGTTCTTCAGGGGTCCTTTTGTAAAGGGTATAGTTCTCTTTTTGGTGCTATAACCATACAGAATCATCTTCAAAAAGGTTCTATATAAAACCATAGACAACACATTCTCCATCAATCTGAAGAACCATCTAAGCAAGAAACAGTTCTATATACAACTTATGGCACTAAATAGAACCATTCCTTTTACTAAAGAACCTTTGAAGAACCATCTTTTTTTAAGTGTAGAGGACAGCAGTCTCAGAAATCTTGAAAACTCGACACATTTTCAAATATAGAAGGTACCACCTTTAGTTTCCCGAAAGAACACTTCAAAGAGCGCTTCATGTAAATGAGATGTGAGAAGAATTTTTTTTTCCCCAGAAGTTTAAAGAACCTCTACATAATGTAAAGGTTCTGTCCAATTAAAGGGACACTCCAGCCAAAATAATACACTACCACTGCTACACCTGTTGTAAACATGCCTACTTGCCTCTTTCAGTGGTGCTACAATAGTCACAAAATGAGATTTCCTGGTTTAAAGATTAGGAAACCTGCTGTGTACATTCAGTAAAACTACAAGCACTTTGAGGCAGATACTTGCGGGCTGGCTGTTTATTTTTCATTTTCCCCTGCTGGCAAATTCACTGGATTTTTAAATACCTTTCGGGGGATTCCATCTTTGTGTAATGCATGCTGGTTATTGTAGTAGAGAATGCAGATTCACAAATACACAAAAAGGTGCAAAATCACAAATTGTGTCAAACCAGTGCTGCACTACATAATGTTACATAAACACATTAGTTTTAGGCCAAAATTCCCCTTTTGGCTATTCCTGGAACATTGCATCGAAGCCAAAAAGTATTCCGGGACCTTTATTTTTAGGAGCGCACTCTGATCTTAATACACGTATTAACAAAAACGGCTCACGTCATGACCATATGAATTACTGACACTATACCTTTAAGGTTCCCTTAGCCACATTAAAACTCCTGACTCAAACCTCGCAACAGCCTAGTGGTGAGAATGAACACAGCACACAGGCTGAAACAGATATAGAATTTATTTGACCATGAGTAGGAAAAAATACAGAGGTGTAAAGGAAACAAGCTGACCCTGTTATAAACACATCACTACTCAGAAGAGGAGAAGAACCAAGAGAACTGGAGGAGAAACAGTAAAATCCAAAACGCCTTGTTTACCATTAGGCTTTTTTTAAACACTTCCTAATATCAGAATAAAAACAGCTGCCATTATTTGTTTTTTTTTTATATCTATATCTTTTTCATATATATATATATATTTATATATACGTAACATTCTTTTTAAAACATTGTGCAAGTGTTTTGCTGGTATTCCATAAATGGTAAACAAGAGTTGGTCCAGTGCATCATATAGTGACATTGCCTAAATACTTATTGACTTCCAGCTGAATCAACCACAATCCTGACCATTGCACAACTACCCCTACTGACAGAGCAAGAAAGGTAAAAACAGACCATGAAACGGCAAAAGGAAGAGAGGACGTCTATGGCAAAGCCAGACATTTCTGCCTAATCAATGTGAACGGGTAAAAGAAGGTCTGGAACCGCTGTGAAAAGTCATTATTGCCAAGTTTCGAGTAAGTTGATAGACATGATAGCGTGACGCTAAAGTTTGCTTGTTGTTCACAAGACACCACCTGAACTAATCGTCTAACATGAAGCTTAAAAAAAATAAACTGAAAAACAAACAAAAAAAATCTAACAACTACGACAGTGGCAATGATAGCTAAACATGCAGTTTATCAGAAGTGACTGGCTTTCCGAGCACTGAGGGAGAAGCAGGGAAACTGAGAAAGAGAGCAAGAGGACAGAGCACAGAGAGGAAAAAGAGGAGAGCGAGTTTTGATCCATGCCTGTACTACCTCCCACATTCTCACACCTCACTTCCCCACCCCAAAGAGAGCAAGAAACAACCTCAGACAACAGTGAAACAGGACAGGAGGCAGGAAAAAGGCTGTACAGCCCACTTCTATGCTTCTTACTAACCCAAAACAACCTTTGCATTAACTTTCAGCTAATCAAACAAGCTCTCCAAGCCAGGTGAAAAAGCCACATAAAGCTTAAGGTCAAAGTTGAAGAAATCTCGTTTGGTGACAAGTGACAGCTCTTTATTTCTCTGTGACTTTTCTCTAGGTTTCACTGAAGTATTTTTCTTTTTCTTAAAAGTATCTCGAAGTGAAAGTTAGCAACCATATAAATCTATAATTCAGTGTGCCAACATCTTTACAAAAAATTTGGTTTTGAGTATTACAAAAAAGCAAAAAAAAAAAATAAATGAGCAAAATGAAAAGAATGACAAAAAAACAACTATTAGATATCAATCATGATACACACATCAACAATTCATGTCAAAGAAAGGAAACGTGATACATAATTTATTCACACTTTACAAAAATCTCTTTTTAGCTACGACAACACCATCAGCAATCCAATATAATAACCAGACAAGTTGCTTTTGATTAAAAACAACCCAAACAAGGAGGGAGGGCTTGGGGACTGAGAGAAAGAGGAGGAGAACGGGGAACTAAAAGGGACATCAACAGTGAGACGGGGTGGACCGCCTTTTAATGCCTTTCCCCTGTTTGGTAAAAGTCATTAAAATGTACCTCTGCCTCATGGCAAAAGTTTCTTTTTATTACAAAACAAAACAAAAAAAAAAAAAAGGAAAAAAGTGGGGGAAAATGAGTAGCTGCACTAGTGATCTACAATAAGTGCTTGTCAATTCATTCCATTTTTAAAATACGACAAATTTAAAGAGGGGAAAAAAACTAACAAAAAGGGGTGGGGGGTTGGCCTTGTGAGCACATATCATTGACATGGATTGTGTTTTGGTAGTGGCCGATTACAACACCACTGGCCACTGCAGATAACGGAATCCAACAGGACTAGACCACGCTACATACACGCACTCCAGCCGAGAGCAGACGTAGCACAAACAAAGTTGCAGCCAGGTTTGTGTCCCTCAGGTCAGAAAGAGTTTTACAGTAGTAGATGGACTAGGAGCTTTACACTTGGCCTTGCAGCAGAACACATTGGATGGCACAACACAAAAGAGGAGACAGCTGTGGTCTAGCAGTAGTAAGAGAAGTTCAAGCTCCAAACAGACAAAAAAAAAATATATATATATATATATATATATATATATATAATAATAAAATAAAACAAAACCTCAAAACGAATCCACAACACAAACGGTAAAAGAGAATCGCCTGAGTTGAGAGCGAGGAAGTGGCAGTAAATTGAGAGCAAGAGGAAAAAATAAGGAGTTGTGGACGAAAAACTAGTCTACAGCCACTGTAAGGTAAGACTGATGGTGGACTGAAACAGGAAAAGAAAAAGATCTGAATAGAAACAATCAGCAAAGCAGCTAAAGGGTAACAGCAGGTGAGCTAATATTTAAGAAACTAGAGCAGGGAGGGGAGGTGGTTTAGCTGGAGGCTGTTTAGGTGTCCAGGAGAGCACTGGCAGTGTGCTTGGAGGAAGGAAGCAGTGAGGCACAATGCTGCATGTTTTCATGAAAACAGAAAAGAAAAAAGGGGCACATAACCAGACACCAGGCTCTATGCAGCAATGCTTTTGGTTAAGAGGAAATAAAAAGTGGTACTGGAAGGGAGAAATAAAAAAAGAAACAAAAAGGACCTGGACAAGTGCAAATTTACACAGCAAAAACCTGAAAATTGTCTTCTTCCTCTTGTATACATGCTGGTCATTTTGCATGTTCGTTAGGTTCAAAACACCTTAAAACGGATAGAAATTTAGCTTTCATTTACAATACAATCATTTTTTTATCCAAATCGAAATTTGAATATGTACACAAAAAAAAGAAATCAGGACTTCTGTGGTTTGTATACAATCATGTGGAGTCCCAAAAACAAAAAAATTAAAAATATCTGGGAGCAAAACAGAATATACAAAAAAGAAACCAAAGAAACAAGAGAAAAAAAAAACAAAAGAAAATGGGTGGGTGCCTTGGCTGGGCAAGGCAACATACTGGACAGAGAGAGGGTGGCTAGCCTAACTAGATGAGAATGAGCATGCTTCACTTATGCCCTTGCTGCTATGTACTGCCCTGCTTGAGTTTTAGTGACTGCTTAGTGACTTGCTGCCAAACTCAACTGCCCTGGGGTCAGCCGTGCTCCAGGTGTGTGAGCTGCAGTCTCCCACACAAGCCAAAAACAAAGCTGCCCATTCCAGAACGTTTCCCTTTTCCTGCCGCCCTCTGTTTTTGCTGCATACATCAGGGCTACAGACGTGGGTTTGAAAACCATTACAAGCAAAAGGATTCAGATTAAAATACACGGTATGAGTGACTTAGTGCATCTCTACTAAAACTCCCTCAGTCTACTGAGATGACGAGATGGACGCAGTCAGGTGGGCTGCAGCGTCTCTGAAGGCTGAAGCCTCAGTGTGGTGAATCACACACACGGTTAAGGGTGTACAGCAGGAGGGCAGGGGCTATATTAGAAGACACCTCAGCACCATGTGGAGTGTAAAGGTGAGAGTGTGACCTGCTCTCACACTCTGTACACACCGAAGAAGCCCTTTAGGTCAGAAGGGCATTATGGGAGAACAGACTATGCGATCATCTCTGAAAAGCTGGTGTGGTTAACGGTTCCTGTCTAATTTAGCTGCTTGCTCTGAACTGGCATCAGAAAAAAAGTGGCATGGTCCAAAATAGAAATCTGATGATGTACTTGCTTAATCTGGACTCCCTGCATGTGTTTGAAAAGGTATTGCCATATTTTATATAAAAGCGTTGACCACTGTCTTCAGGTAAAATTTACAAGAAATACTCAGGATAATCTGGGGTTGGGATACAGTGTGAAAAATGTAGGTAACGTTAAACTTGTGCCCAGAGGGGGGGAAAAGGGAAAAAAAAACAAACAAAAAAAAATACATAAATCAAAATCAAGAAACAACTAATAGAGAAGGGGAGGTGGTACTCATAAGACTGACAATAAGCATCTGCTTCAGTTAAAATCCATTGGGAATAAAAGTTTAGCCATTACCCAGCTCCTCCTATCGGATTCTGATTTATACACAACGAGCTTTGCCCCTCTCTCCCTGAGCAGAGAGCAGGCGAGGCGAGGCGTGGATGGGAGCTCCCCCTGCTGGCTCGGAGAACTACCTGCGGCCAGGCACGTGGATGCCGTTGACTGCGGGCGGGTAGGGCAGGACCAGCTCTAGTTGTGCAAACAGGGAGAAGTGGTCGGAGGGGATGTGGGGATGGGGGCAGCCGGTGATATTGTTCTCGTGAAGCCAGTGGGGGTCCAGTGGGCCCAGCACCCCCAGCACGTTAAGCAGGGGCTGAGAGTAGAAGATGTAGTCAATGATGCCCTGCAGAGGAAAGCAAAGCAAACAATTCACACAGGGACAAAGGCTGACAAAGTTTGTCAGAGTATTAAAGTGTGAACAATATATTCTCATCAACAATGGCACCATACTAAAAGAATCCACATCTGCTTCAGAGGCATCTACTTTTCAAAAATCTGTGGTTCCCAACCCTGTTCCTGGAGTATCCTGCCCTGAATATGTTGGCATTTTCCTGCTCTAATAAGACATCCTTGCTCAGTTGTAGTGGCTTTGTCAGCACAGGAAAGTACTGCTGGGGAGTGCTACTCAAGGAACAGGACTAGGAACCACTGGGCTTGTGCAGAATTAACTGCGCCTTGCCTTGGCAGTTGGAAAAGCCAGTTGGAGAAGGAACTGAGAATAGGGTCGTCAAGCTGACAGTTTGTGGCGTTCACATACTAGATAACATTTCTTTGAAAAATACAAATGTGACATTCACAGTCGTGAAAATCAAGCTACACATTTTAGGGGCTTACGTGCTGTATTAAACAAAATGTCAACATGGTTGACAGCTAAGCTTCTAGCCAATGAGCATTTAGCTCTGTTGTCACCTCTCAGCTCATGCAATATTACTGATAATCGCAATTTTTTTTAAATAGAAAATACCAGGCTTTTTTTCTTTTTAGATATCATCCAAGCTTGGTATGCATTGATTTGCATTAGAGAAAACACTTGCATTCATAAATTTATAAAAGCAATAAAATAAATAAAATGCAGTGTTGCCTGGACATTCTGCTCTTCTACATAAGTGATGCATTCTCAAATATGTCAAATCTAAACTTGTCTTTTTTTTTTTTTAAACAAATTACCTGTCTATACTGATATAAATTCAATATCATGCACCCCTAAAAGGGGGATTCCTCTGATCTCAATTTCTGCATATTTTGATTGTTAAGATGTAAACAGTCATTCACAGTGGTTTGATGTGAAATATGCCATGCTAGAAAAAAATTAGTCAGAGCTGTTCACAAAAGTGGTGATAAAAACCAGACATCTGAAACAGTCAATGCTACTAAAAATAGTTCTAAATATGCTGCCTGATGCCTAAAACTCTCGCCTCTTTTCCACTGCAGGGCCAAACAGTTCTGAGCATGGAGAGTAACCGTTCCAGTGACTTTTCCACAAGGACATGGCTCAACATGGAACCCTTGAAAACCAGGCTCAGCACGTTTTTTTCAGGCCAGTTAGCTGGCCACGCCCAGGGCCACGGAACCGTTTGATGAGATGACATAACAACGTAGCTATGTTCATGTCGGTATTGTGCGACAGCATAAACTAAACAAGCTCAGTTCTCATAAATTAATAGATAAATTACAGCACTTCACAATTTAAAATCCACTATTCAATAAACATCAAAGCTTTGTCATACACTCCCCTGTTTAGCCAAAGATTGGTGTATTTCATTAACATGAGCTTAGCTAGTATGCTGCCAGCTCTGCTCCCCACAGAACAGGTTTGATTCTGACTTACAAAAGCTTTACTGATGCAAGTTGAGATGATAGCCAATAACTAAAATCTGAGGAAGCGAAGTTGAGTGGCTGGTGTTGAAAGGACAAAAAGCTTAAATGAAACCTGTTTGTCTGTCTTTACTGTTCTGTATTTCAAAAACCTGTAAGCGTCTTTGAGTTCTTGAAAAGCGCTATAAGTATAATGTATTATTATTATTATTATTGATGTTCTGTGGTGTTTGCAGCTGTAGCTTCCTAGCTAAGCTACTGCTAGCCAACTCAAGCAAAAGCAAAGTCGACTGATTGATGTTGGAATGTCAGAGGGAGATAAACATGTTTTGTAGTGTGTGTATGTAGCTATTAGTCTGTGAGCAGTTAGTCACTCGTTTGTGTAGTTTCCTTCAGTATTTCCTGGCTCTGATTTAGCGGGAAAACAGATGGAAAAAGAAAACGTAACTGGTCTCATGAATCCATAACAGCAGAATACAGCCCCTTTAAACATTTGGCTCAACAGCAAGTTTAAGCTTTTGGTCTAAAACTTTTTTTTAATAATTCATGGCAGAAAATATAGATCAAGACAAAACAGTACCAAAAGAATGTACTACTTAATTGTTGCTGTTTTGTTTAAAGAACCCACATTTACCACTATTTTACCTTTGTCAATGTCAAATATAAAAACTCAATACATGTAGATTCACTGATCATTTTAGAAAGCAAAAAATATCTATATGCAATGTAGACAATCCACCACTGTAAATACATTTTACTACAAAAAAACATCACACTTCAAACCACTCTGAATGACTGTTTTACATCTCAGTGACAGAATTATGCAGAAATTTTGAAAAATCAGAGGAATATGCCTTTTGGATTTCCCATAGATAAGGGATGTGTGTGAATAAGTTAGATAAATAATGTGTAAGTGATACCTTGAAATCAAAGGTGTAGTTGGTATAAGGCATCAGGCCATTCTCGTAGGCACTCTTTAGCTTGAAGCCGTGTGTGATCCTCGTGCTAGATGTGCCGTTTTTGCCGTTACAGTTAAAGTTGGTCAGGCAGTCGATGTAGCGCAGCTCCTTGAAGTCCTTATGCGTGCTGTCCACACCACCTGTGCTCAGGTATTCCACGACACCTACACACAGTTTTACAGACGAATGCCTTTACAATTGTCAAATTTGCCTTAACATTATCCATAAATTAAAACAAACAAACAACCAAGCACACGCACGACCTACCTGAGTCAGGCAGTGAGTTGAGGTCAGCACACAGGACGAGCGGGATGGCATTGGTCTCTCCCGACACAGAAGAGAGCTTGAGGCTGCGTGTGGCCTTGTCCACAATGTTCTTCACCTCTGAGAGAAACATCATGGTCTGGACCAGCTTTACATCTGAGTATTCAGGGTCCCAGTGCATGTGGGCATTTGCCACCAGCAGCAGCTGCTTCTCCATTCCATGCAAGGGTTTCCCTGCTAAAATATACCAACAAACAAGCATTATTTTTTGTACAAAATACTATTAAAACAATGTAAGAAGAGAGACAAACACAGAGAAGAAGACAGAATGAATTAGAGTCAGACCAGATTGCTCCATCATCTCTTTGCGTAGCTCTAGGAGCACGGCGACCCCAATGTTGTCCTTGGTCATCACCCTGTTCAACATAACCTCCGAACCCTCCGAGTTAGCCATGGCCAGCTGGTTAAACTCCACTGTGTGTTTCTGCACCAAGCTGAATCTGTGTCCGAAGCATATGCATACAGAGTTTAGTCAGAGAAGCAGACAGTGAATTTTGCTTCCAAGTTAGTAATTAGAAGAGATGATAGCTCTTGCATTTTTAGTGAGACCAGAAAAGCAGGACCATAGTGATATCTACGGCACTCACTTCTCAGTCTTGTAGAATATGGCGCAGCCGTCCACATGTTTTCGGTCGGACTCAGACATGGTCCTGGCACGAGACTTGGGGCTGAAGAAACCCTCATAACCATGCTCCTTCAACTCTACCAGGAAGAAGTTGTAGTACTGCTCCGTCTCCACTTCCTGCTCAGAGAGCACAGACAAGAAGCTTGTTACTTCAAGTGCGATGAGAAGCAACTCCAAAACATCTCTTAAATTGGAACAAATTTAATCTATAAATACCAATGTATTATTATAAACTACTAGTGAATTACAGTGACAAATATATCTAGAACAAAAGGAGTTCACACAAACAGTTCTGACACAAAGTGGGGGGTAAGAAGCATTGACAGCATTGATTCGCGTTATGAATGACCTCAGGCTCAGCGCTGATGCACAAAAGCCTTCTATTTTGGTTTTATTAGATCTAAGTGCAGCCTTTGATACTGTTGACCACAAGATTTTACCCCAGCGTCTTGAATACTGGGTCGGCCTCTCAGGCACAGTTTTAGAAAGGTTTAAATCATATTTAAGTAATAGGGAGTTCATGGTTTCACTTGGAAATCATTCATCAAAACGATTTGCCGTTTCTTGCGGAGTCCCCCAAGGTTCAGTCTTAGGGCCTTTGCTTTTCTCTTTGTACTTGCTACCTCTAGTTGAGGTTATTAGGAAACATAGCATAAATTTTCATAGCTATGCTGATGACACCCAGTTATACATTTCTATTCCTTCTGAAGATCAAGACTCTGTAGACAGACTAACCAGCTGTGTGTCAGATATTTCTCAGTGGATGTCGCAAAATTTTCTACAATTAAATCATGAAAAAACTGAATTACTGATTGTTGGTACAGAAACTCAGAGAAAAATGATTGAGAAACTTTAGCTTCATCTACCAAACCTGAAGTACGAAACTGGGGTGTGATCTTAGACTCGGAGCTCTGTTTTACCCCACATGTAAACACGGTCACTAAAGTAGCTTTTTATCATTTAAGAAATATCGCTAAAGTTCGGCCTTTTCTATCTCAGAGCGACGCAGAGAAACTTGTTCATGCATTTGTAGGCTTGATTACTGTAATGCTCTTCTTGCTGGACTTCCTAAGAAAACTACACATCCCTTACAACTTGTAAGAAAAGGCAGCAGCGCGCATCCTAACAAAAACAAAAAAGAGATCACATCACTCCCGTTTTGAAAGACCTGCACTGGCTGCCTGTATCAGGATAGATTTCAAGGTTCTGCTACTAGTCTTTAAAGCTCAAAACAACCTGGCACCTGCTTACATCACAGAGTGTCTGTCTATGTTCTGGCACGCAATCTAAGATCTGCAAATAGTGGCCTTCTACAGATACCCTCTGTAAAATACACAAAACATGGAGAGGCCTCTTTCAGTTATTATGCGACTAAGCTGTGGAACTCAATTCCATCTTTTATTAGACAGTCAAGCTCAGTGCTCACTTTTAAGAAGCACCTAAAAAACGTCTCTCTTTAAATTAGCATTTAACTAAAACTCAATGTCTCGTGGTGTTTATCTTGTAATTTAATCTTCTTCATTTTCTTCTGATTCTAATTTAGTACTAATGATCTTCTCTATAACTAGGTTTTATCACCTGTCTGTAAAACACTTTGAGCTGCCACCGGCATGAAAAGTGCTATATAAATAAAATTATTATTAATTATTATTAAAAATTATTATGAAATGTCTCAGGTTGAGTTTTTTTTAAAACAAACACATTAACACTGATTTTCACTTCAGAGCTCATGGCTGCTCCTGCAGTTTTCTGTTTGCTAGAAGTTCTGAGCTCAATCAGAGGCTCAAACTCAACCACAAACACACAGTAGAGCCTTGATAAGCTCTGTAGTGCTCCTGATTTTTCCAGAATGGCTTAATTCCCTTTCCTTGCATCTGGGTCTTGAGTCACATTAGTTAAACATGATAACTTTGGACAGATGCACGCAAATCTTCTGCAATCACATTGTTTGTTAAATAGTTCAGAAAAAACACACCATACAAGATTTTCTACTTCTCACATGCAGTAGATCAATGACATATTTGGTTGTCCAAGTTCACAACTAGAGCTGCCAGGCTAACGGTGCTAATAAACACAAGTGTCACCAAAATCTTCAGATATTTGCTTCAAATTACGTTGATAAGCTACATAGTTCAGGAAAAAGAAAAACAGTTTAGCACCTTCAAACTCTGGGAGGATGTAGCGCAAGCGTGTATGGTAACACTCCTATATGCAGATACCAAGCATTAACACAGACTTGTTTATTGCCAGAGAGTTCAGTATATAAGAATGAAAATACAATTTCTGCTGCAATTTGACCTTTGTGCTAGTGAGATTACAATGCATGGCTAACTGTTAGTTAGATAGCTGGAGTTTCAGATAATGAATTGGAGGGCAGAGCGCTCAAGTGTACAAAAAGGAAGGGGGAGGACAATAAATTCCACCTATCGATTTCATAGGTATTAGCGATAAATCACTAAGAGGAACTAGCTCTACTTGTTACCATGTGAGGTTTTTAGTGGTGGAATTACTGTTCCCACAAAATTATTTTAAACTTTCACAATAACTAGCACACTTCAGGTGTATCTAAACTGGGCAAAGACATTCAAAAACAACAAAAGCTTTCAAAAGCAAATAGTGGCGACTCTTTGCCAGACAACTGAAACATCAACTTCTCACCCATCTACTGGTTTCTTTCCTTTTTCAGAAGTAAACCGCCTACATATGAGTAAGGAGTATATCATCAATGTCCAAAGAAACGCAAGTATCTCCAAAATGATTTTGTTCTTTACTTTTAATGCAAGTTAATATAAAAAGTTTAGATCCCTTGCGATTTTGGAACATTGCTATTGTTATTCATTGTGAAATGTTCACACAATGTAAAAGGACAGCTGCTGAGCTCAAATGATGCACATGAAAAGAAAAAGAAAAAACAAAACAAAAAAAAAACAAAAAAAAAACGGAGATACCCGTTTTCTTTTCTTTTTTTTTGACAGCAATGTTGTGTGTCATGGTCAGACCTGTAGGCTGATGATGTCTGCACTGCAGGTGAGGATCTCTTGCATGATGGACTTTTTCCTGTAGTCCCAGTTGAGGGCCCAGGAGGGGCAGTAGCCATAGAGCTGGCGCGTGGCATACTTATCACACAGCACATTGTAGCACATCACTGAGAAAAGGGCTGGTACAGGCAGAGAAACAGAAGAATGGTATAAGCCAAAGGCAGGGCCTTGAATTCAAAAAACCAAAAAAAACCACACAACTCAAGTGATCCTAAATTCTAAAGAACTACAAAACCACTAAGCTACTTTCAGAAGCCTGAAATCCCTATTGTTAGCCACATACAGTCATCCTGTGATTGTGTGAATTTCTCACCTGATGGTCGTGTCCTGTCAGGCTCCTGCAGAGGTACCCAGGAGCGAGGAGGGGGCTGTTCTGTGGAGACTAAAGCAGAGGTGGAACACCATCACACACACACACACACACACACACACACACACACACACACACATCACAATAGAACAAAAGATTCAATAAAAACGGAAACACACACACGCACACTTCCCACTACATCACCACTTGCGCACATTGTAATTACCCCCATAGCAATTCAGAAAAGACTGCAGGAATGTGGCAAAAAGTCATGGAGTACAACAAATTGACTCATCTCACTGAAAGAAATTTGTGCTTGCTAAAACCAAGTTTTCCTACAAAGAAAAGCCAGGCTCTGCAAGAGGCCTGCTCCAGAACACAGCAAACAAAAATGCAAGCATACCGCGCTTAGTGCCTGCAAGATTGTCCAGCAGGTAGTTTAGGAGTCGGCGCGTCCCATCGGGTTCCTGGTAGAGGTTCATGATGTCTTGTGCAAGTGGGTTTCCTGTACAAGAAAAGCAGAAATTTCCATTTTACTTAAAAGAACCTCATGCCCAGACAAACACTGACAAGAAGATCATGACTACAGATAATAAATTAATTTGCTAAAGATTATTAATACACACATCCATATTAAAAACAGAAGCAGTGAAGAGGTTCAATCCAGTTACTTAACAGCAGACAATCAGACATACCTTTCAAACCCAGTGTTTGTAACTGAAACAGTTTTCCAAGCTCAAAAGGTAGAACTCGCAACTGGTTGTTATTTAAAAGCAGTTCCCTGAAAGCAAGGAAAAACACCGCGCACACACACACACACACACACACACACACACATTAAAATTAGGTACAACAGCAGATAACTGAAAATTGAAATTTACCCTCCAGCATGTATCTCTGATACACTTATGCATACAAACTTAATAGAATAAAATAAATTAGTGACGCAAAGTTGACAATACTTTTACATTTATTATTAATATATATATTTAAAAAATATATCGCCGGTATAAATGGTGTAGTACAACAGACTTGTAACACTGGACTTGATCCAGGCTGCCTGGAACAGTGCACTGTGCCTTTTCAATTCCTTGCAGAAAATGATTTATAACCAGCCAGTGCAGCAGTAATCAAGCAGCAGAGAGGTGGATATATATTACAACCGGTGACATTAATGGAATTGATCCATCTAAGTAAAGCCCTATGGCAGACACACATGAGAACAACACTGATATAAGTGAGCACAGGGGGGGTCATTAACATCCCCTCCAAACAAAAGGGAAACTAATTAGCAAGGTTCTGGGGCTATCCAGAATGACTCATATCATGTGTACACTGGAGTTAATAACCTCAGCTAGCAGGAGAGCTCATCTGCAGAGCTAACAGCCAACATTTCAGAGATACACTTAATGCTCTTGAGATTTACTATTAGATTTCTTGTCTTGTGCAAAAATAACCAAAAAAAAAAAAAGTCACCAGATGCTGACCTGAGAGATACCATGTTGCCTAGCTCGGCGGGCAGGCTCCTGATCTTGTTGGACGAGAGGTCCAGGTACACCAGATTGTGTAGTTTGGCAATGTCAGGCGGGATGCGCGAGAGGGAGTTATCACTGATGTGCAGAGCAGTCAGGTGTGTGAGAGACCACAACGCCGTGCTCAGACTCCTTACTTTCCCTAAATACAAAATAAAAACAATGAGACTTACATTTAAGGACACATTAAATAACGAGTTGCAAAATTTCAACCTCAAATCTTCTTAACTTGGTCAACTAAATCAGAAGCAAACATCTGCTTTGAGTGCAACTAACTAAAAAAAAATGAGCTTAAGTCATAATGTGGACCCAAAGTGGAAACAAGCTGTTATAAGCTATAAAAACTAAAAAGCTCTACACAAAACATCTTCTAGCTAAAACACCAACATTACCACTGATCTCCAGCTCGGCCCAGTATGACTTCTTCCCGCTGGCTGCCTCCTCGCTCGACATTATTGTGTACATCCGCCTTGGGTCAGGCGGATCATATTTTTCCTTGGGCATCCCTGTAATACTGAAATAAGTGAAATAGTTATTTCCACCAGTCTACTCAAAATGCTGTAAATGAGAGCTATTCTTCATGCCTTGCTGGACAAAAACAGCGGAGAGCACAGTTTAAAAGCAGCAGAGAGCAATAACAGCAGGTAATCCACCATTGTGAAATAAAAGCCTTACAATACTTCTGAAATGCACAGATCAAGTTCAGGAGGCTCTTAGGTAAGAGACCTAGAAACAAATTGTATACACACAATCTAAGCTAAGCTACGTAGCTTGTGCTCCTTAAAAAGCATATGCAGTTCAAACTCTAGCTTTTGAGAAGCACTAGAACCATGAATGTAGATCAGGATACAGAAAACATGTGGTAGCCATTTAAAAGATCAATAGTTGAGGATAATTTCCCCATTAGGCTGATTAATTTTCAATGGGATATTCCTGTGATTGAAAACGTCCATTTGCTCTCAGGTTTGAACAGATGGAGGGACATGCTCACAACTAGGCTAACAAATTAGGTGGTGTTCACTATGCTGCAGGGAAGACCATGATTCTGATCCATGAAGTTCCTACAAAGTGGCTCACACCACAAATTTACAAAAGTCAAACATAATTAACAGAGCCACAGTTAGACAGCAGGCCAAACTCAAGTTGCTTTTAAACAATTTACCAATATTTATCATCAGCTACAGCTACCTCTTAAGTTACCAAGCTAATCACAACACCAATACCTCGTGTGTACAGCACTTAGCTACCACGTACAACTAGCCAGCTAAACTGCCTCACACACAAATAATCAAATGTAAATTATAAGACAGCGTGTAAGTTACAACAAAGTCACTTTACTAGCCAGGAGGATAACTTGTAGCTAACTTACTCCACAGTATGACTAATTTTTGGAACGAAAAACATACAATTAACGAGTTAATGTTCAGCCAAGAGATAGCATCCCAAACAATTAGTTAAACTACTAGGAAAAAAACATAAGCGCGGGGAGCTTCATTAACTTACCTCAAGTTTGTTTCTCAACTAACTATTTACTGTTTAATGGTTTTTATATAAATGAATGGGGTAATACGTGAATACCTAATGAAAAACACATTGTGGAATGATTTCGAGGTGCCAGCCGTGAAGTAACGTTAGCTAGCAAGCACATAAAGACTGGCACAAGCGACTCGGAGCTGAGCGCTGTTAGCGTTAGCTTTTCGGGCATCGTTAGTTATTCAGTGAGGCTAGCTAGCTGGCTAGGTGTATAAATAAATACAAATCGCTAGCCTAGTTAGCTCAGCGGCGCACTAACAGACCACAGCAATCAACTTACATAATAATGAACCCTGGTTCTACCGCTACCGCTACTGGTGAATATTATGAGGTCGAGACCGGACATAAACTAAAGCGTTTTAAGCGAACACACAAAAGAACAGGCCTCCTGACAAACACACCGAGCACTCGTTGAGCTTATATTGACCAGCCAAGATCCCATTGTTAAGATTTGGTGAGTTAGCCACTTAGCCGCTACCTAGCTCACTGGCTAACGTGCGATTTTTGTATTTTACAAACTAAAGACGAGCTGCGCTCATCAAAATCCGTTTGTATTAAAATGAACAAGGCGTTTTCCTCATAGCAAAACCAAGTGGATGGTGTTCTCGGCGTCTGCTCCGTTTACCTGTAAGCGCATTACCAGTTGACGAAGCTGAGTGCGCGTCTCCTTTGTTTCTGCTCCACTTTGTATCCGCTGCTCTTTCTCACCCAAAGCAAACAAGCATCATGGCGGCTCGGAGATTTTTCGGTCCACGAGAACAACGCGTGTCGCTATTGGCTGTCTCCCGAGAAGGAGCGCCGTGATTGGTCCGCACTGTCGCGCGACGCCTCCACCGTGTTTACGCCAGCAGTGTAACGAGAAGAGGAGCAGTGAAATGGGTCAGTGTGTGGAGCTATAGGTTTAACAAAGCACGATTAGTCACTAAACTGGATCATTTAAACCAAAAGTGAAGACCCTCAACTAAGAGTATTCCTTAGCCCGTCTGTACAATCCTGATTTTGGACTCAAACCACCTGTAATAACTGAGAAATCCTGCAAGGTGTTTCATAAAGCAGGATTTCTTTACTTAGCTGGATAATTTAAGCCAGAAGTCAGGACTGTCCAATAAAACCATCCCTGATAGTCACGTAGTCGATGCTTTCAGACTTAAATCACCGGCCTCGCTGAAAAATCCTGACGCGCATCTGAAACAGGATTACTCATTTAACTGGAAAACTTAAACCCGAAGTGAGGATTATCCTGTAAGAATGTTCCTTAGCGCTTCCATATGGAAATCTGACATATGGAATATATAGATTTAAAACATGTGCCATGTATTAGCCTATACGTATTCCCCTGTATGTAACATGCATCTTCTCTGATGCCATGACTAAAGTCTAAAAACGTGCACGTTGTAAGCTATGCAATAAAATCATAACATGAAATAAATGAAATATTGCTCCTAGCACTTTTAAATAATTTAGTATTCAAAAGCAAGCAGATAATAGTAACAATTATAACTGTATATATATATACAGTTATATATATATATATATATATATATATATATATATATATATATATATATATTCAATCATGTATTGGACATACATGTATGATCTATGTATTGTGCATATATGTATTCACCCATCGATCAGATGTATATGTATGATCCATATATAATGCAATATTACATCTATTGTTTGATACCTACATGCATGTATGTAAAATATATGTAAACATTTTTTTTAAATGTACCTCTTGCCTCTCCCTTTATAATGTATGTCCATATATGGCTGTATATGAGATGTTCCCATGAGTTACATTGGACAGTTCTGATTTTCGGCTTAAATTATCTGGTACTGGAGAGCCAGTGTTTCGCACAATTTGGTAATTTCCTTGCACAAACACCTGATTCTAGTCATCTGTTAACTGCCAGGTTTGGTGTTTTTGAGTAAAGGAATCACCAAACTGTGCTGGACACCAGGCCTCCAGGACCAAAGTTTAATACCACTGATCTAAGCTAACAATAAGGATTGTCTAGTAGGAACATCCCTTAACCCTTGTTTTGTTGGACAAGCTTGACTTAAATTATCTGGCTAACTGAGAAATCCTGCTTTGTGAAATACAACTCAGATGGTGACAGAGAAATTTGTAGGTGTTTTTTATGGCCAGGGGACAGAAGGGGGTGTCAAAAATTATTTACATTTGTTTTATGGTCATTATATAGCATTTTATAGTTTTTAAAAATTACAGGTATGAAGAGCTTAGAAAAAATCTGGCACCCATTAGTAGTGTTTCCATTTACAAACATTGCTACTGTTGTAACAGCAATTGTCACTTCAAATATTAGTTTTTGTGCAATCTGTAATTGAGATGGTCAACATTTGTCCAAACCCTTCTTTTAAAGCCTTACAAATTATATATCAGTACTACCACTTAGTTGTAAATGACAGTGAGGCCTTCCTTTTCGGTTATAAAATAAACTTGTGTAACATAATTAGCCTTTTCTTGGTCAGACTCCTTTCTGCACTGTATGTTCCTTAGTAATATATAAGGGGTATATAACCAAAATTGTATCTGGTGTATTGACTTAGTAAATAGTTTAATTAGTCTTTGCACTGACTGACTCAAAATAATGACAAGCTAATATTATATAAGGTCTGATTAATCTGTTTCCACAATAGAGGTTAGTACTGTTTCACTCTTGCTTTTTTGAATAAGAGGAGGTTCTGAGTGAGTGAGAACCTGTATTTTACGCTGAATTAGGCAACATGTAATCATGAGCCTCTTGCTTAGGTACCTGCTTGCTTACTTGTAATCAAAATGTTGTAATACATTGAACTAACACTAGATGGCAGTGCGTGTCTTTTTCACTAGTTGATGCCAGGCCTCTTGCTTCTTAAAGGGGAATTCCACCGATTTTTCAAATTTATAAGATAAGAGATATAAACAAAGTCATTCAGAGTGGTTTGGTGTGAGATGCTTCATTGTAGATACTCTATCTTTACAGTGGTGGTGATAGGAAACCATGTTTTTTTTAGAGAACTATTTCGTCTTAGAACACTCTTCATGTATCCCTCTGCCATTATTAGATTTAAATAAATGGATTCAAATACATTATCACAAAACTATCATAAAACAATGTCTCAGACATCAGGCAGTGTATTCAAAACCATTTCATGTAATAACTTCCTGCATTCTACATTCTTTTAGAGGTGGACGTCTGGTTCCTATCACCACCACTGTGAACAATTCTGACTCTGTAAATTTTTCTAGAACAGAGGATTTCACGGCAAATCACTGAACACTTTGTTCACATCTTAAGCATTTAATTATGCAGAAATTATGAAAAATTAGCCTTTAAAAGGCTCTTCATGGTTATGTAAAACTGCCTTATAATTTCAAGGATACATATTGTGCTGTAACTTTAGTTAATCTTAGCAACTACACATAACAGAACTGCTGTACAAATTGCACTGTTAGATGTTTTTAAGAGCACAGACGGCAGCCTATAACATCAAATATCCTGTGGACCTATGGACTGGTTCCTTTGACAGCAACCTAATGGTGATGTACAGCTTGTTGTACAGGCTCAGTGTCCTGTAGTCAGTATTGTGTGGAAGGCCATTTCTGCCATGTAAATGCTATGTAAAAATACATAGCTGTTTAGTAAGTGATAGTAATGAGTAAGCTTTCCATAAATATGACTTAGTATCTCATATTTATGGCATAGAATTTGATTATTATTATAATTATGATTTGCTATCTCATAATAATGAATCTTTCTCATAGATATGACTTAGTATCACATAATTATGGCAAAGAATCTTATAATTATGGCTTAGTATCTCATAATTCTCATAATACCTCCAAATAATTACTTATGATCTCATAATTATAAGAAAGTAATAAGAAGGTCAAAGTAAATCATAATTATGAGATGCTAAGCCATAATTATGACATAGTAAGTCATTATTATGAGATACTAAGTCATAATTATGAGATAGAATCTCATTATTATGAGATAGCAAGTCTAATCCTAAAATTCTATGTCAAAATTATGAGATATTGAGTCATACTTATGGAAAACCTTCTTATTATTATGACTTACTAAATGATTATATATTTTTCCAATGGTGGAAACAGGCTTCCATAGTATAGACCCTTGTATCCAATATTAAACTTCTCACAGATTCCTGTCAAGACTGAAACTTGTAAGAAGGTTTCCCAGATGGCTGGGGTCTTATCATGACTTGTACAGAGTTAAGAAAAATAACATAAGTGCGCTGTTAAATGTGTGTTTAACCTGTTCAATTCCAAAAAAATGCTACAGAACTGGTTCTCAATGGTCTAAAATGATGAAAGTTTTGTTTACTTATATGTATGGATGAACATTGCATGGTACTTACTTGAATGTTTTGATTATACGTCATTTTCCTTAAAATATGGGTTTGTTAAAAATCAGTAGTCCCATTTGTCCACAAGAATAGATTTAATATGATAAATCAAATGATAAAAACATATCATCACTGTCCAAAAAACAAGTATCTCCGAAATGGCAGCTTTTTGTTAAGGCAAAAACATTCTTTACAATGCTATTTGTCCAATCATCATGGAATTTTCACACAATGTAAAGGGCAGCTGCTGCATTCAAATGATGTAGAGAAATAAAATGGGAATACTTGTTTTTTCAGCATCAATATAATAAATCATGTGATTAAAAACTTGATCGATTTGAACATTTTCCTCACAATAGGGCTTCATTGAAATTTTTAATGGACATTAAAGGGTTAAACATATAACCACATAATTGTGTGAGCATGTCTAAAGGGGTTCAAGCAAATGAAAACTGTCGGTTAATTGTTCAGCAGGGGCCCTGTAATGAACTATTAATGAAAATTGAAATATTACAGATGAATGGCTGCCATGGAATGTTTGATGGCGATGAAAAGTGAAGCCTCATTGATGGTCAGTTAGCAGGTCAGTTAGCTGGCAAGAGACCAGCAGAAAACCAGCTCAAAATGACTGACAGTGCTACTTATTGCCCTTTTAATAATTGAAATAAACAGAATGTTTGTGGTGCAAAACGCCACTGGAGAACTGAGGTTTAATTACGGCCATGGCAGTTGTTATTAATGTTTATTGTTTATGTCTCGAAGGTGTAATAACCACAAATGAGAACTAGAATATTAGAGTACCCTCGTGAATGCACAATGCAGAGGGATTTGATAAAGCCCATTTATGTGATATAATGCAGTCACTTCAGTAGTTTGACATAAATGTTAATGCATGGTGGATGCTTTGTTGCTTCAGGGCACACAATCTGTAACGTCAAATCCTGTATGTGAAGAAAAAATGTTTCTGCAACTCACAAATTGCTGGAAGATGGCAGCTGCTGATGTATCTAATGGCTAATTAATTGTAAAATAATTATAGTGGCAAACTCTGTGTGAAAATAAGCACCACTGTCAAAAGACGATGGCCTGATGCTGCCACAACAACTTCTGAGACCTATGTCAGATGTTCGGGGGAATACATTTTCTTGGAGAAACGCTTGAAATATTTCAAGTTATTGCATGAGATCAGAGATGGTCCTAGCACTCTTTTTCTCTTTCTCTCTCTTGCTGGAGGGGCTACAGCACCGCGGTCTTCAAAACCATTCATACACATACAAAAGTCCCTTCACCACAGCCTTTTCAGAGCAGTAAAAAAACTCACCCTAGACATATCAACTCAATTTCATCTTG